CTCGGGGTTTATATCAGTCTTCCATACAATATGCATTAACAGTAGCCTCGACTAAAAATGTAGGATAACTATTCAATATTTTGCTGACAACCTTTACCTATGTGTATTTTCTATGTTGTGGTTCAGCTTCTCCGGTTACCACAACGTCGTTAACAAACGTAACCTCTCGCCATTGCATATTATTAATACTCTTGAGTACACGAGTGTGAGTATAATATTCTATCTCGAAAACAAAAGACGATTTTCTTTTCTTGTTCATCCTTATTGCCTGCCCCTCCATTCGCGGCGACGCGACGGTGTTCTCACAACCAATTTCGTCTTTACACGCCCAACACGTAGAAAGCAATAATCTTTGATGGAGAAAAGACTGCCGCCACTGCGTATTGGATGTTTTAATAAAAGTTTAAATTGAAAACGATTCAGAGGAGGGAGATGAAAGTTTTATAATATTATTATAATAAATATCCGTGGAGCGTAATCGTTATGTGAAGCGAAAACAGGCTCTTCCCGATTGATTATACATGTATACCTACTCTTGTATGTATATTTTATATATTTATATACAAGCACGCTGGTTGATTCTTCTTCTAGCGATTTTAAATGAGTTTCGGGCGAATTTTCCCAAGTTTTTTCGGCGTTAAAACCACAAAGCCTCACTCCCTCTCCGTTTTGTTTTCTTTAAGGGCTAGATAGAAATAGGGTTTCTGTTCAAGAATTAGTTTCATTAATTTATAGTTAATAGTTATATCTTGCAACTTAATCAAGCTAAATCTTGATCATGCTAATTTCTAAAAAAATTAAAGAAATATGCGCTACATTGTACTTAAACAATACACTGTTAAATATAAAGCATTAACTTTATATAATATACTTCATAAGGTGGAGCAAAAATTATGCATTTATTATATTTAAAAATTTTAATGGAATAGAAGTTAAAAATATTGATTTACAATACTCGTATATGAAAAGCACACAAAATATAATTTAAGTTTTGAAGTGCTAAGTAAAATGAATTCAAAAATACATAATATTCTGATAGACATTAAACTATATCAAAGCAACTAATGAAGTTTAAGCATTTTGATCATTGTTAGATTAGAATATTGAAATCAAATAAAGAAAAAACTTCAAACTTTCAGACAACCTAGCGCATGAAATTATTATATAGTACAACACATATATATGATATTTATGCTCGTATATGTATTAATACTAAATTATTATTTTAGTGCAGGATATTTAATGTACCTACTCAATTATCTAAGATACGCGGGTGCTTAATAAAAAAAACTGAACATCATGATGCTATGTTAATTACATTAACTCGAAAATATATCTTAATAGAAATAATTAAATTCGTTGTACATTTTTTGGCTATGGTTTAGTTGATTATAATTTACACCACTGGATGTTTATTTTATTCGCTCGAAATATTTAATCTTAATTAAAAACTTCTTAATATAAATTTATCTACCGTAATGTGTTATCATGCGATTAATTAGCGAATTGTCAAAAAGAAAACCAAAAATTAAAAATTAGTTATATTCACCTCTTCGTCTTCTATACTGTCTAGTTGGTTGGTTGATATATGTATATTATTTTTAGCGTATTAAGTATTTATAATAATTATAAAGGTAAACTATTGATTATTATAATATGCAATACGTTCGAAAATAAACAATGGCTTTTTATTATTATTATTATTTGATTTGAGTATAAAATGTATAAAACGTACTAAAATATATTTAATTTTAAAAAAATGTACGACTTTGTTGATCCTGCACATCTATATAAAAAAAAATTATATTGAGAATAACTATGTTACAGTTGTAAAGATAAAACGACACTTCAAAACGCCTAGGCATTTCTTGAGTTACTCGTGGGCGAAAATTAAAATGCTGTTGTAAATCAACTTCAATGTTTTTATCGTTGTTTTCAAGTGAATAATTACATCCTTGTCGGTCGCTTGTGCACTTTTTTTACAAATTCAAATGACTCTTCTGGTTTTCTGAAACGCAACATTTCTGTATGAGTCTTTGTGTGTGTTTATAATATGATGATATCGTTCTTACATTGTATAAGTGCATCATCAGCGTTCTCTGCCCGTGTATAAAATTCAATTACTGCTTCAATAAATATGTTTTAATTAACTTACCACCATCATAACCAACCGCTTGTTCATTAAAATGCTCGTCTTAGCGCAACGTTTAATCGCCCCCTTTTTTTCGAAATCAACGAATCGAATTTTAAGTGTGCCGACTTATGGTTTTTGAAATCATTTCCTTGTTTCGTTTCTTTGATCCCTTGTTTTTGTTCACTTTTTTGGATTATTTACACGCCACGAGAATTCGACACGCTTCTCCAAACAATTTTGATTTGTGTTTGTGTGATTCTGTTTCTTTTTGCTGTTTGTGTAAATTCAATAATGACGTAAAAAAAAATTACATGCTACTTTTTTCCCTTTTTGTATTAGTGGCTGTGAGGTCTTTATCGAATGCTCGTGATTTCCGCTCTTGAAACCGGCATTGGGGTAGCGGACGGTACACAGTAATTGGCGGCTCGAGTCTAATGACTTTATCAATAAAAATTTGTATAAAAAAAATCAAAGCCAGATAACGGTTCGACAAACCCGTAAACACCGAGCAAGAAAACCTTTTGATTTGAAAATAAAAAAAATATCTTCCGACCCTTTGAACCGTTAAATGGGCGATTTGTATGTGCTTCTCGCCTTTTTCTCAGCAAACATTGAGTTTATAAAGTTTTTAACGAGATTGCGTTTTTTCCTGGAGTCTTAACGAGCAAAGAAAAGTATTAAGGAAGTATTGTCATTCTGTGTAAAAGCTAATCTCAGTAGTTGGCGTATTCGTTAAGCAGCCTGCGAAGTAAACTCGACAGTAGTTTAAAAGGCGATAAACGGGTTTTAAAGAGTTATAACAGAGTAAAAAATCAGTACAATATTTGAAATAATCTTTTTATCTCAATATTATGTCGGGTAACTCGAGTAATCTCTTAATAGATACTTAAAGACTAATGCTTTTTTTGTTTAACTGATTATTGTGTGTGGACGTACATCTATTGTTCTCAAAAGCGAAAAATTATAAAACTATTTACATTTTTGTAGGTAACGTTTTTCTTTAAACGTTAACCGGTTGTGAAGACTGAACTAAAAGCCTGTGTAAACTTTCTTCGCTCTTTATTGAATTACAGTATGTTTGATAGGATAGTTGGTACTGTGTGTTACGCATATACGACTTGCGTACGCCATATATTAGTTATAGGCCCAATAAAAACGTCTTTGGATATTGTTAGTTAGTTTAATTATTCCGAATTGACCTACGAAAGACCCCTACGATAATGTAACTTTCCTTATCAGTGTTACAACATTAGCTATACATATATGTAACGCTATTATATTTTATTCAGTAAGTCTTAGTGTGTTATCCAAGTGTTTAGTATAATTTTTTTGTTCATCTTGTTCCACCGTTCCCTCAACCCGTCTATTATATAGTGTATAAGTTTTCCGTTTACCCCGCGTATTTATTGGGCAAAATTGTAATCTAATAAAACAGACTCGGTCGCTCTAAACGACGCGGTGGTTATTTATAACAAATCGGCACGGTATAGGAGGAGGAGGACGGATTGGAAGGGAGGCGGGTCCGGTCAATTTGTTACCCTTTTAATTAACGTTAGGGCAAAACTCTTGGAAAACGCGAATATGGAGAGGACCCCCTTTTTTGATAATGTATTGCCCTTACCCGCCGTGTGCAAGCGCATTATAAAATGACACCGGTTAATGAAATTCTTGTTCTTCATTAATACAACATTATGTGTGTACACCACCGGGATCGGGTATAGTGTGACGTGTGTTGCTTCGGCATTCGCTGGCGGTCTCCTTCGACGGCACAGCAGAGCGCGCACAAAAGGGACTACACTGGAAATTTATGTCTTCCGAAAGACTGGAAACTATGCGCTATTATCTTTTTGGTCACGGTCGCACAAGCACCACTTGTTCTTGCAAATTCCAAACGTGTCACAATATGTAACGTCGCTTTTGACCGCCGCGGCGTATACGTGTAAACTTTTTACCAAATACATTTTTCAACGTCTAAACACTTTAAAAACAAAATGCCAAGTATGTACTATGGGCTATGGCCGATCGAAACAATTGTCCGTCTCAGGCTATCAATAGAAGAGTATAGTATATTCAAACAATACGTCTTATGATTTCTGCAGGTCACATGAATTGTCGTTATTGCTGGGGTGGTATTATGGTCACGCGTCTCCTACTCGCCGGACGAATGGTCGCAATTGATAAGCCTCGAGACCTTCAGTACGATTAATTAACAGAAACCGTTGCCTCGGAAAGTGCTGTTGAAAGAAAGAAAACCGCACGTGCGTGTGTTCGGTTAGATTAGGTTATCGCACGGCGATTGTAAGTAGGCAATTTCGCTACGGCCCTGTCTACCTGCACTGTCCACTGCAACAAGGGGTTCAGTAACGCAATGAGCTACGCGACGTCGAAAATAATAACAATAACGCTATTATAGTATTGTTATTATATTATTATATACACATTTCGTACTACGTCGCCGAGCTAATACTCGTATGCTTGTTCAAAAGATACACATAACACCATAATCGCATAATATCGGCCAGGTCGAGAGGGTTTTTTTTTTCGAGATTTTCATTTTTCTTCGTCTCTCTCGGATTGTAAATGCGGCCGCGGCCGGCTGGTTGTGCGTTTAATCCCTTCTCTTTTCAAAAAAGGATTAAACGACTCGCAGAAAACAAAGACCTAAAGGGGAAAAAACACAAAACGTATATTGCGCGCGTATTTAAAAACGATGGGCCACATGTCCCTTACATACTTACTAATCCGGCCAGGTCACCGCCATGGCCGCAGTATTCTTTACCCTTCGGGCCCGGCTTAAGTGCGCATAATATATTAATTTATGATATGTTTTGTTAATTTTTTTTTTTTTGTAACCTTTTTTTTCCAGAAACTCTTTCCCGGCACCCCACCACTGTTCGACGTGGACGAAATATTGATCAACGAGCCGGGCACCCTGTGCGCCCTAGTGGGCTCGAAAGGCGTTTTGGTGATGAGATTCCCGAATCGGATGGGCTCCAAGTCATTGTATGACAGCGGCGGAGGTGGTATAACGTGCAGGTATTGTATAATATACATAATTTATAAAAACTTATACTACAATGATTAAGCTCTGTAGAGATATTGCCTTCAGAAAATCGTTTTTAAGTACCTAATCAGTAGACCTAAATATTATGGAAAGAAAATGTGGTGGTCCTTATTTTTCAATAATAAAATATTTGTTAGTCGAAGGTAAGTGATTTAATAAAACTAAAATTTAAATTTTGGGTTTTCTGCGAAGTACATTTTTCAATATTTTTACCGAAAATATTCGGTACTTCGTCGACTTTTAAGTCTAATCGATTTTTTTTTTTATATTGTCATAATTATACCTGTTTAACTAGGACTACCCTAATATACGTTGTATAAATTCAAATCGTCAAAATTGAATATCATCATAAATTAGGTTCAAAGGGATAAAACTTTATGTGACAGAAACATCGAGGATTTTACTTGATGGTATATATGTGTATAATATAGTATGTGTAGTGTACGTATAATGCGGCCCGCGGTGATAATCTTTTGACTGGAGGAGAATTCATTAACGATGAAAAAGAGTACAGGATAACGTTCTTTTGACGTTATGGAAAATAGGGAAAGTCCACAACCGTGTCCGGTAGTCCGTAAAATTAACCCTTAGCCGACGTCGTATCCACATCATGAGTATGACATATCAGATAAAAATTTACGGAATGCCTCTATTGTTATTTCAAAAGTAATTAGTTTTGTTTAAAAAAAGCTTTGTTAACTTAGAATAATATAATGTATTCTTAAAACAATAAATAACATACTAACATTCGTGTATCCGTCACTAGTAGAGTTCTATACTATACTAAAAATATACTTATACATTTTTTTTTATAATAAAATGGTTTATGTATTTATCTGACAATATCGTACAAGATTATTTAATTTATTTCAGTTTTGTTATCTGCCCTTTAAATTACATTGTTAACATTAATTACTCAAACAATTCCTTTGTGCTATACTTTATATATCTAACATAATACCATTGAGTATATAATATACTAAACCCCGCTTGAACGTCCCGCATCTGTCTTATAAAATTATTTGCCCCGTTACTCTGTGGACCTGTATGGCAGGTATACCCTTAGTGTTCTATAAGTTTTGTCTTTTGAATCCATCATGCTGGTCCATCTAAATTTGTTTCTCTTCAAACAAATTTTACGCCCACTACTTAATACAATGGTAACAATTTTGTACATTTAAAACGTGCCAAATATCAATTGTGCCAGTTGTGTATGTTAAAACTATAGACAAAAATTAAATTTTTAAACGGCGTAAACCTAAAAATGAATTTTAAAAAAAACTTACCAACTCGTTTTAACTATTGAATGTCTAAATTAAGTTAATTATAAACATTATTTTTTATAATCAGGTTCTTCCCAAATGTGTGTTATTTATTTTGAACTCAACAACACTGCGGTTGTTTTTACCATGTTAAGAGACAGTACGATTGTGGAATGTTTCCAAAAGGAATCTAATTCCGAGCTATAACCGGATATTTTGACGTCTCTAAAATACATGTGCAAACACACTTGGCGTCAAATAACACGTTTTGCGCGATAAGCTATTGTGGGGTAAAACGGCTCACGCTTTCGAATAGGTTTTCGGCGAAGAATTTTAATTAGTATTCCTATTCCATGGATTCTTCCTCGTCGTACCCAGCTAGGTATATAATATATGTACACTATCCCGTTCTGGCCGCAATCTGACCGCAGAGATCGCCACCGTATTTACTGGCTGTTCCGAGTACCCGGGCTTCGTGGTACCGTATAATAAATTAAGAATTTATACATTATTGTTGTGTGTACACGTTATCCGGCGAGGTCCTAAAGGGTATAAACGAAAGCACGTGAGATTAATGATAAAAATCCTCACGTTTGTTCAGGTCCCCCGTGGGGATGCGCTTGCGGTATAATCAATAGTTAATTGACTTCCTATTCGCAATCACCATTATAATATTTAAAACATACATGGCTGTGTTGCCGGCTTGCATGTCATAATGAGTCCACGCATTATGCAAGTGCTCAGTATAGACGTACACATTGAGTCTGCCAAGACATAGGATCGTTTACTTGTGATACGCTTTTTAGGGAGTTCTCGTAGGGGCGCGAATGATAGTAATTTGACATTTTTTCAGTCACGTCCAAAAGATGTACCCTGAGTGAATATATAGGAACACGTCCCGGTTTGTGATAATTTTACTCATATTTTCTCTCTGTGTGGCAACATAAAATACGGTTATTCGCCGAAACTGCTTATTAATGAACCCCAGTATGTCTAAAAAGTAATTATACACTGAATAATTATCGACGCTCGCATAAATATAATTCTTGCTTCTTTTTCGCCTGACATCATTGACGTTAGTCAGAGTCGTTGAAGTCACTCGACACGAACTGGAACCACCAATGTATTGTGTTATTCGAGTATAGTACTTAGTCTTCATCAAACTTTGTATGTACCTAATAATTATTATAGCCATTTACTATTCGTGGTTACTGTCTAAACTCATGCAACGCTTAATTGGTATTTTCTCCACCGCTGTACATCGTCTATATATTATGTACAAGATTCCGGTCCATTCTTGCCTTATTGTTTTGTAAATCTAAAAATAATATTTAAAATTATTGTACCCAGTCAGCAGTCTATGCCGATCGAGTTACCAAGGTTCGCACAAACGTAATCATAATTATAATAGTATAACTTTCCTTGAATAACCAAGTAATTTATCTTGCATTACTTTCGTTATCCAGTATAATACACTTATTATCGTTCTTATCAAACCGTATTTTATTTTACAATTATAGCTTTAACGGGTAGGCGAGGCACAAGAATAATGAAATGACATTTTTTTGTTATACTTAATCAATATGATACAAAACGTAATGAGCCTTTTTCGTGTTGCGTGCTACTCAATAATACCGTTTTTAATAAAATGAATGACTAATAATAGTATTCACTAAGTTTTAACTATTCTAACAACGATCATTAAACAATGGATGTATTTAAATTGTACTTAGACGACCGTATAGTTGTTTACTTACATATTGTTATATAAATATTATTTTATTTGAAAATCTTATTTTTCCCTTAATTCAAAAATAATAACATTATAAATGATTTTTAATGTCAATAATTTATTACATAACAAATTATATTGTGAATTATATTATATATATACTGTTTACTTTACGGTAATGACTCCTTTTCAACCGTACATTTTTAAAGGCTATTAAAAAAAAAAAAAAAAAGAGTATATTTATTTCGAAAATTTGGTCTGGGAAGGTTACAATAATTATAAAAAAATGATATTTTCAAAAATAATTCAATAGCAAAACATAATTTCAATACTTTTTTTAACAACTAAACGTGTTGTATATAATTCGACTTTTTAATTATATTGACATTATTTAATTCAGCTTTATGTATCATTAGTGAACTATTAGTTCGATTATTATCGAATCCATGTATTGTCATTAGTTTTAAACCCATTGCAGGGCCCATCTCCAAAGAAATAGTCACCGTTCCACTGTCGCGACTAGAATGAGTACATCGCTTGTTGCCTACCTGGTATTCATGTCTTTATTGCAACCGTGGTAGAAAACGCCTATGCATTTTCCAGTATACTATGGCAAATAGTGGAACGGTGACTATCTCACTGAACGTGGACGCTACAATAGTTTCGAAATGTAGCCAACTAATGACAACATGGATAGATCTAACTATTGTAATATACATGTGTTTGAATGCCCAAATGTTTCTGTACCTAAAATTTAGTTAAATATACTTTACGGACGGCTCTTTAGAGTATTTTTACACCCGTACCCTTAGCGATTCCCTCGACTTTCGACGACTGGCTGGGTCATCAGTGATTACGTTGATCTGTGGACGACTACACTACTGCGCGTTTAGGTGTTAGCGAGGGGAAGTTTTAATGAATTCCATAAATAATAGACGATACTACTCCCCGTTGGTTACAAGATACGTACCGTGTACAAGAAACCGGAAAGTAAGTCTTCGGGCGCAGGGAGGATTTTTTTTTATAGGTCGGCCACAGATCTCGGCCGAGGTGCTCGTATTAAACAAAATCCGCCGGCACACGTGATCCGCAGCGATTCTTAATTATACCTCGGCCGCCGATAATGGTTTCGAGGGGTTTTTCTACTTCGCATCGCGGGCATATCCGAGAGGGCGAGAACCGCACACACATATACAGTCTACTCGTTTAATAAAGAACTGCCGCGGACGCCGCTCGCACTTTTGTTTTTGTTCGCGCCGAGTGTATTTTACGAGCTATCCGGTGTGTGTATATTATACCAACGATTAACTTTAACGCTAATGGACCGGCTATTAAGGGCTCGTCCGCAGTGGCCCGAAGGAGGAGGCTCTGTGTTGTGATGCCATCGCGAGTCGCTTTCTATCGATACCACACCGGCTACCGCCATCGTCCCTCTTAGCCCGCTCACCGTATGTGCCGACCACGGACCTATTCGAGCACGTTGAAATAGCCGTTGTGTGATTGGAACTCTCCCGAACCTTATGGTATTTGTTCATCGTGTAATACGTGCATTGAAACCGCCCGCTTTTACACTTATGCGTTTATCTACGTTTTACGAACCATTGTGTAACCGTTTTGTAGTGTGGATAGTGTCGTTTATTCGGAGAGGCGTAGTTTTTTTTTTTATGCAGGTGATACCCAAAAGTTTACACGAATGTAACATAACAATGTACCATTAATTTCGCATGGTTTCTAGTCGGTTTGATTTAATTTTTCTCCGAAAAGAAAAAGAAAGAGGGAGAGAGTACGTCCAGGGGTTGTGCACTCGGATGCTTAACGTGCGTTTTATTAAAAACGGGGCCAAAAATCTTTTGCTCCGATTACGTTGGAGGCGTCCAATTTTGGCCGGAAGTAAAGCGCAATCAAATTGGAGCTTATCAAACACAACACGGTGTATCCGGAGTGACTTGCCAAATGTAACCGGCGCTACACACCCTTTTTATGTGATAATTTATTTACGAATGTTTATCTTTTTTTTTTTTGTGCTTACTCTATCGGGAAAAGAGGGAAAACCATTGACGTCGGCCGCCCCGTGTCATTCGACGTTAATTGACAGGAACCATGAGCTAAAAACAAATTAGAGTTAGTAAATTATTGATACGGCAATTATAATGGATACCTGGACGATATCGCAGACGACCAAAAGAGGAGTGGATATCTAACGGGAAAAGGTTTAATGCGCCTTTTTAAGGGGTGCATAATTGATATGCTCGAACGATATCGCTAATCACGGAATCGATACAAAAAGCGTACCGTTCAAGTCAAAACTTTAAACCAGCGCGGAGGCGTTTGTCGATTCCTATATTGCCCGTTTACCTCATAATTTATGTTTATGTAGAAATCAAATTTAATTTCGGGCCATACCAATTGACAATTTTCTATCAACGACTTAGTTTTAAATCTTTAAAAATAATTAAAACTGAATGCTTATCCTTTATTGGGTTTGGTCTCAAATACTCTTGAGTGCATACATCCATTTGCTTATTCTATGTATAGTAACATGTGTGTCTATCAGATGTAAACCAAAAAAAAAAAAGACATAAAACTAACAAACCGTCGTTAACCTTTGGCAAAATACAGATTTCTTTCCGCCTAAGTACAAATAACGTATTTTGATGGTTTAAAATACTAAAAATTATGTACAAAATACTTTTACTCGTAGTTGGACAGTCGGGGTATTAAACGTTTATGATCGAGGACGCTCAGTGACATCACTGAAGTGTTGTTTATACAGTTTTATATTATTATATTATTGACTATTACTCGTAGAAGTCATGATTTTATAACTTACTTCATCATCTCCCAGGTAGGCGGGTTTGTTTATGTACCTTAGGGTTTTCGAGGGAAAACGGGCACCAGATTTGTATACTTTATTACCGAACAAACCGCCCGCGACGATTATATGAAATGCCATTGGACAAAGTACCCCTACAAGGCTAATCGTCGTTGATGATCCCCGCAGTCGTTGCCTTTTATATCGGCCGTCGCCACATGTATACAACAAGCGTACAAAATGTTATTACATTTTAATATTCGAAGACTGCAATAAACACGAAACGGTATTTCTGCGTTCGGTTTGATTTTCATTCAAACGTTAATAACACAAACAATAACGGTATAGACATGGTACCTATGTACGATCGTAAACAGCTCTACCTCTCCGACGTCTGTTGTTTGTTTGCTCCGCCGCCACCGCCGCTCTACGCCACGCAAACTTTACTAATAACGTTAAACTTTATTGACTTAACGAATTTGAACAACTCCAAACGGTTTGTTATTTGAAATTCGGCTGATTTATTCATGACTACATACATAAAACGCATGGTTTCCTTATGTCTTGTAGTATCTGCCTATAAAAGTAAAAGCGTATAGTCATTGGCGTAACTAGGGGGGGGGGGAGGGGGCTGAGGAAGTTCGGGCCTTTTAAAAACTGAAAGCTCCCGTTAGAATTTTAGTAAAAATTATAAACCTTAGTCGGGGGTTATGCCTGATTGGTCACTGATATTTTTTTTTTAAAAGCTTGAACGAGATTAGAAAGATTATAATAGAACTTCCCCCCAGCCCCCACTCTAGCTGCGCCAATGCGTGTAGTGATGGAAGATGGAACTTCAAGGACCGACATATCTCTCTGTCAATGTAATATATAAGTATATACTATATTACCTTAATGTTATACTGAATACCGTTTGTGTAAAATGAAAATGCCGACCGCTGTAGCTTAAACGTTGTTTTTTTAGCTTAAAATTATTTTTAGCCGTCCCTTTGCCGCCACGAGTTGACTTCCTAGTGGTCTTCGTGTGGGGACATTGTCATTACGCTATTGCAATGTACGTGTGTGGCATAATATATTATTATAATAATAATTGTTTGGGCCGCAACTACACATTTATGTGTTCGAAATGAATGTATTTTTGTTGCTGAAATGTGTTTTTATAACGTTTGCGAGTACATAAATGTTAATTGAGTGCATTTGCATATCAAAGTGAAATGTGTACATTCGGACGACTATCTGGTTACCTTGAGAGCTACACGTGAAACACAAAGGGCACGTGTACTTTGACCGAAAGAAAACGCATTCGTTTTTAAAATCCGGGGTTGGACTATTATAATTCAATTTTTTTTTGCTTTCTATATTATCTTGTTTTAAAATTGCAATTTTTTTCTCGTTTTGACTTTTGCCACGGCTGGAGTCTTTTGAACTTTTGTTTCCATTTTATCGCTGTCCGTTGTGCGAACTATTTATTCAGTACATGCAATAAATTTCTTAAAACCCTTTTAATTTAATACCTCTATTCGTGTCTTACTATTCGCATAAAACAGTTTAGTTTTACTTGTCTTTTTTTTTTTTAATGCAGCTGGAAATAAATTTCCATTACCGTGTTGTGTAATCTAGACATTTTTTTTCTGAGTAGTTGACTAGACATTGTATTAAATTTAAATAATATGAATATATATTTTTGGTTTTTTCACAGCACGTCTCTCCTGCAAGACAGATTCTTCGTATCCAGACACTTGACGGGCGTAAAACGAGTCCGGTGGTATCCGGGTAGCCCCGAAGACAATCATCTCGTGGTTTTGACCAACGACAAGAACTGTTTGCGGCTGTTCAAGGTGGAAAATAATTCTGGCAAATTGGTGTCCGTGTGGCAGTTGGGACCGCATACTTCTCGCATGTCGGCTTCGCTGGGAGACACGGCCGTCGATTTCGACTTTGCCGCTCCGATACTGCTGGGAGACCGAACCCGGTCCGAACCGTCTATCGTTTGGCCCATTCTCGTGTTACAAGGAAACGGTAAGACGTGCTCTGTACGCTGACGAACTAGAAACACAACGTTTTCAAAATAACGATAAATACCCTCGAGTATAAACACATCTATATACCCTTTTACACTGTACCTAAATGTATCCAATTGAAAATTAACGATCCGTCAGAACCTAACCTAACCCAATGTGGCGTTGTTCAGAGAATATGAAGCCGAGTAGAATTTAGTTTATTGTTTTCTAATCCATTCGACCGCCTTGGAATAAATAATGTATTACTCCATCTGCAGTGTTTACCGTGTTTCGACAGGCGAAGTGTTGTGCTTGAACACGACCGTCGACGAATCCATGACCATTCAGTCGGCCAAAATAACCGGCCCGTTGACCATGTACCCGCCGGCCGACGACAACTACAGCGAAGACGCTTGTTCCATACTAGTCTTGGACACCGTACCCCCGTCCGTGATCATCGCCTCCAGCTTTGGCGAACTCTACAACTGTCTGCTGTTGCCCGTCGCTCAGAACAAAGTCTGTACAATCATGCTATTGTTTCCCGTACATTATTGTAATGTTTCGTCCGTTGTTTACTGCAGGACGACGAGTACACGTCCAGCGACAAGCAGTTGGAGTACAGCTTGCACATCATCGAGACCATCGAGCTGGAATTGGGGCTGGACGTGACCGCCAACGACGACGAATACGATAGCTCGACTGTGTTGCAGTTGAAAAAGGACACGTCCGTCAGTTCGAGGTACTGGTGTTTGCATAACACTGGTGTACATTCGGTTACCGTACCGTTAGACGAGTTGCTGGACGAGTTCTCCAAAACCGATACCGGTAAACTGAAATGTGCCTCGACCACTCGCTCGACTGTTTGCCGTAACGTTTTTTTTTTTTTTGCAGACGATAAACACCTCGGTTCGCCGGACTTACACGGTCAAAGTTTTGTGGAGTACTACATTTGTACGGGACTCATGAACGGCGAGACGAAGCCAGTTAAAGGATTCGCCGTGGTCAACTTCCCCACCGACTTGCTGGTGACTTTGTTGAGTAGCGGAGAGATTGTCACTCAGTCTATACCGGACTATACTCATAATAAGTCGTCCATCGCCAACTTGTACATGACCGAAAACGAAACGGCCCTGGAAGATCAGATAGACTTGGTCGATAATGTAAATTGGTCAATTTTACACTTTTATGAAGCTAATGTTACATTAGGCGAACCTTGATTTTATTCAGATAATTATTTTAGAATATGTTTTGAAAAAATAAGTTATACATAATATTTTGTATATAAATTGTTTCGTGGCCAACCTAAGAAGTACTATTATTTTAATTATTTTTGATACTTAAAAATTGCCCCTGCTAAGTTAAGGATTACTACTCTAGTAATTATTACTTGTTGAATAAATAAACAACTTTAAGTATAGTGGCTGATGAAAAATACATACTAGAACTTTAATAGGCGTTTATATAACGGACATTAGTGAGTCATTCTTCAAAAAGAGCAGATGTGATCTCGTAAAATTGTTGTCAATTAATTGTTTAAAATAGTGACATTACATTTGAAATATTTATGTTTTGTTTGATTAAATATTTTTGTAATATTTATTTTAGAACGATCAGAACAACTTTAGTTCATTCATATCATCTATCTTGCAAAGAGGCGGGGGATCTAAAAACACCCTTCTGAAATTAGGGCCGAAACTTGCTCCTCACATAGTGATGCAGGTGAGATATTACATAATTTATGCTATGTTTTACGTTTAACATACATTGTTAAGTACAGATGGTACTACAAGCCATGACTACAATGCGAGAAGACACGTTAAAGAAACACAAAACGGTATCTGAAGAAATTGAACGTAGAGTGCGAATGTTGAGCAAAGCTAAAGAAAGGCAACTGTTAGAAATGAAACAATTAGAAGAGGCTCGACAAAAATTACAAAACGATGTGGAGAACAAAGCTGAAAAATTAGATGAAATTGCAAACAAGCAAGAAGAGTTGACCAAAAGGTACGTGTCTCTTTGATATTATTAAATACAACACTTTCTAGGGCAGCGATAAAAAATGCTGTTTGCCTGATTTGTAGAGCATCTGCAGTACTTATGAGACTAGTTTCCGTAGCGCCTGAAAGCATATCTACCAAGAAAAAACGAGAGTTGCTGGAGATGTACAAATCCAAAATGGAGATTATGAACAAACGTATCGAAGAGGCCAGAGATAAGTGGAATGTTGTTCAACAGGAATCAACGTCCTCGGCACGACAAACGTCAGGAAATCGTTCATTTAGGCTAACCCTTGAACAAGAACTGGTCATCAAAGGCAACTTATCTGAAATGTAATGATTAACTTAACAATATAAAACTACAAACTAGTGTATTATATTAATTTTTTTTTTTTTTTTTAGGGGATCTACCATATTAGAGCTAGAAAAGAAAATCAGAGACCTCCGAACAGTAATCAATTCATTCGCTAATTAATATATACCTACTGTCTAATGTGAGATTGTTCAGTTCATGAATATTCCATTTTCTATTTAACATTTTTGTTCATAATATTATTCATTAATTCTTAAAAGTATTTTGCATTATAATTAATTTTGTGTACCGCATATAAGTTAACCCCTTTTATCGACAATAAAAACCGATTATGTTGTATAATAATATTAAATATTTAAACTTTAGAGAAGCAGTATAATAGTCTGCTAGTAATAATACAATATTTTTACTAGTTTTGAATAATAATTTTTACAAAATCAAAATGTGTAGTATTTTAAGGCTAAAAATTAAAGAAATCTTTAGGCGGTCTTTCTCGGTTACTGATTTTGAACCAATGGACAGTATTTACAAGGAATTTTACCTAAGAGTTAAAAAGTTATTAGTGGTCAAAGCTTACTTGTTTTCTTTTTTTAATTCTGACTTCTTTGGTTATTTATCTTAACTACCTCGGCAATTTAAAGTTAATTGCAAATCCAACCTTACCAAACTGTTTCTTAACTTTAAAATAAAAAAATTAAAACATGCTTTACAATTTGTTTATTACAAAAGCGTTATTTAGTGTACAACTTGTAATGACTACTGGGTGGCTAGAAAATCGGTAACTAGTTTTAGAAATTCACTTGGCTTTTCAGCGTGCAACCAATGACCAGCACCATCTATGTATGCAAATTTTGAATTAGGAAATATATTTTGTATCTCGTCGTGATCTTCTGGTTTTATAAATTTAGAAAGACCGCCACCAATAAAAAAAGTCGGTCCAGTATATGTCGACTGTACTTGTGGAAATTGACTTATGTGCTTATCAAAATTAGAGTCTATTGCCGACAAATTGATACGCCACCTATAGCGGTTATCCACTCGTATAAGATTGATTAGAAGGAATTGTCTAAGCACCGGACTCTGTAATAACCAGTAAGCAATGTGAAACTATTAATTACATTATAATTAAATAAGTAAAAATGACATTCAAACCTCTATGGAGTTGGACATTTGATCGTCGACTAATAATCGAGCTTTCGATATGGGTACATTGAAGTCGAGATCAATCATCGTAAGGGCGTCGATAATACTTCGAATATCGGTCACCTCTTTACTGTTGACCGGTGATATATCAACTGGTATTAGAGACTCTAGAAGATCTGGCTAAAATTATTAACGGACTAGAAAGTTCAACACAGTATCTGACAAGTAAGAAAACAAACCTTACATAGACGATGGCAAAATACATCATTGCTCTGCCGCCCATACTATGGCCAATCATCGAAGCCTTTTTCAAACCTAAATCATCCATTAATAATTTTATGTCTTCTGCCATATGTGCGTACGTATGTTCATCTGAGTGAGGTGAATCTCCATGATTTCTTGCGTCCACAGTAATGACCTTAAACAAAAAAAATTATTTTATAATAATAAAGGCTATATAACAAAAAAAAATTGAATTGCGTCTATTTACTAAACTGATAACAATAAATATTTTATATTGTATCTTGCAAGCAATGTCAAAGTATGTTAGATAAGGTTATCTATGTTCTACAATTTAATCAATAAGGTACACTAACGTATATTTACAAACTAGTAGTCTGTTATAAAACATTTCGCTAAATTGTTAATATAAAATGTTCCTGAACTGATAAATATTAAAAAAAGTGATAAATTGAACACTTCGATGAAATAGTTCTAACCTAAAGGTCAAGCATTATCCATAGTAGGCATAAAAAAATCACTTAAAATAACAAAGGTCGACAATCTACATGTTATATAAGTTACAACTTAAACAAATTTACAGTTCATAGAAATTGACATTCTCTCCCCCAACCTCTCAATACAATTTTTGGAAATATTATGTACCTACCTATAAGTGTATACATTAATGGCAAAAACCAAGTATAATTAGTAATTAAAGAAACGGGTTGAACTTAATTTATTTTAGTGATTAAGGTCACATAGTTAAATTTCATCAGTCTAGTAGAATTTGATTAGCAGTTACCAGTTTGGCAATAAATGTCTGAAGCAAAAAAAAAATATCTTATTGTTGGTGGTTTAGTTTGACACTGACAGTATAAAATTGTGGCAAACTGACAAAATATAGTTATATTGATGCTGTCTAGCAAAATTGTATTCTCATAAAAACTAAGAGCGATAAGCCATTTAATAACAAATTCATTCAAAAAACCTTAAGTTACCCAGTTTTGACCTCTAACATTTTACGATTGTAACAGTCAAATATCATGTCAGTTGTCACTAAAAAAAAAAAGGAATGTAAACGTAGTGTATATAAAAATATTAGGATATCTTGTGTCTGTAGAATAAATTATTAACAGTTTAATAATTTTAAATATTTTTATAGAGTTTATATAAACTAGCCTATTTAATATAGAAATCAATATTAATTTATAATAACACATCTTATTAATAAATTAAAAATCTTGAATTATTATTTTTAAAAAATTCTTTGAATTATACATACTTTTCTACTTGTTAAATTGTGAAGGGCTTTGGCCAAGCTATTCCAATTGGATTTTGACCCGAAGAGTCCGTGCATGATGATCAATGGTGAATCCTGATTGCTATCACTTGCTGACTCATATGAAGTGTAAGACATTTTAACAGGCTTTGATTTCATACTCATTTGCCGGCAGCTAATCGTCCGGTAATCACTCAAAAGGTATGTCCGTAACAGACAAGTTGCTTTTGACTTGATCATTGTAACTCGGTAAAATGATTTTTTTGGTACAAAAAGTGAGCTTACCAAAAAAAATTTCAAAAATAACCTGACGTTACTGGTTTTTTAATACATTTCATCTGCGTTTCGAAATTGGAAAGGTTTAGACAAAAATACCTTAGACAAGTATGCAGACCAGTAGCTATGTTATACCATATATTGTAGCAGACGATAACAATTTTAAAAAGTATACAAACACTAAATAATATTTCAATTCAAAAAATAATTATTAACTTTATTAATTAGATATTATACTCTTTGGTGGATGGAAGACGGAAGTTACTCATAGACTGATATTTCAGGTCACTCGGTACTACAAAAAAAAAAATTACATTGATAATGGGTAGATATTATATTATTATCTACAATTATTTTGGCTTGTTTTTATTCTTATCGACCGTGCTGTTAAGAGAACTTTGATAATATAGTCATAGATAATAGATATTAAAAACAATTATACAAAAATAGAATAGTATTTGCCACAGGCCATTGACCTTGCCAGGAACGTACGTACATCTTGGGACGAAACATTCTACATTTTGTATTACTTGAATATTTACGTTAGATGTGAATAAAACCATTTAATAAAAATTTCACCCCAAAGTTCATTCAATAACTTATTTGGAATAAAGGGAGCTTTTAAATTCAATCTTCTTTAAAATGCATACTGCAATAACAATTGTTAAATTTCTTTATTACCTAACGTTGGATGGGGACTATTTATACCACATAGGCATTGCTAATTTTTTTAATTGCTTAAGTTTACCAGCATTTTGTTACCTTTGTCCTTCACCGTACTTCAACTTACACCAATCTTTGATTATGCTAAATAAATTTCACTCAAGTGGTCCTTGTTTAAAAAACAAATCGTTTTCTTTTTAAACTAATCAAAACTAATATACTTTGTATAATAATAAATGTTTATTAAAAAAAAAAAAATTTTTTTTAAGTATCTATTGATTTGCGATAAAATTATTTATTTACACATCAAACATACTATAAATATGATTATTTTTTTTTAATTGGAGATGAAAATAGTTTAACAATAATGACTGTTTTATCAGCATTTACAAAAATAATAAATGACAAAAAAATTAATTGACATTAAAAAAATATATAATACTGGCATTTTAAACAAAATAACTTCAACAAAACTTAATAAATCAATAACAAAAAATTATCTTTGGTTTTTTAATCTTAATCATCATTCATCATCATCTGATATGACAATAGTTTCATCGCACGGACTAGACGCATGATAATACACATTTTCAGTCTTATACTCTTTATAATTACATCCAGATACGGAGTATTCTATTGAAGAATTGTTTGATACCTTACTACCCGAGAGCTGATCATCAAATGAATTCGACTCGTTGACAATTTCACTGCTACTACTAATATTCATATTGTCTTCTTCTTCCAATATTTCTTCAATGATCCAGTTTTGAGCATCAGCTTCACTAACATATTCAACTCTGCTGTGGCTTGGTTCTAGGTAATCCATCTCATACACAATTTCTTCCTGTATATTATGTTCATTGTTGTACGTTTCATTAAAACACTCGTAGTTAGCATCAACTTCTACCTCTTGTATTAAATCACTGGCAGAACAAGATTGCATTTTGTTCGAAACTCCATTTGTATTTAACCATTTAGTCGATTCAGTATCATCAAACGAGTTGGACTTATTTACATCTTCAATTGATGTATTGTTTTTGTAACTAATTGATAAACCATTAACTATGGAATCATTTACAGAATTATCTAGTTTAATATAATTTTGTTCGGTAGGAGTGTTCACAATAGTCTCATTTTCAGGTGAGCAATCACCATTGGTAACGACCTCGTGTTTATTTTCATCTTTTCTATTAGTTTTACAGGTGTTTTTGATATTTTTATTTTTAGATGAACAATCTCCATTGATAAAAACTTCTAGTTGATTTTCTTTATTACTATTGTTAGAGTTTACGATACTCTCATTTTGAGAAAAACATTTACTGTTGGTAACAACTACTTCATCTTCAATTCTGTCATCACCTTGGCTTCTATTGCTAGTAACAGAGTTCTCTTTTTCATTGGTTTTAGAATAAATTTCATTTTCTATTGTTTTTTCTCTTTTTATGAATGGCTCATCAGTATTCATATGTTTGATGGAAACCGATCTAACATATTGATCGTGAGTAAAAGTAAAATTTATACAGCCAATCAACATTGTTGAGCCACTAGATAAAAACGCTAAACCTGGATATCCATCTTTAGGAATCAGCCTTTTTGAACACGAGCACTCAACATCTGAATAAGTATATTTAGTGCTACTTAACATTTTTCTATAATACTTTGTTAGAGAACGGTAATCAAGCTTGGGGTCCCGCTTATTGCTTGTATATTTTATTAACAACTTTTCTTTATTAGTTTGACTAAAGCTAAACATACGTTGACTTCGAACAATTTTTCGCCGTTTATTTATATGTTTCTTAATTTGAAAATTAATTTTGTTCAAATCTCTGATTGTCAGATCTATAGGTTGGTGGTTGCCAAAATATGAAACGTTATTCACTATAATACCATATTTGCTATGATTTGTTACGCTAAAAGCTCCAATATTCTAAAAAAAAAATTGTTTAATATAAAAATTAAGCAATAATAAGATAAAAAAATTTAATTCTATTTTTTTTTTAATAATTTAGTTTTAAAATTCAAATTTTTCTAAGTTCAAGTGATTTTATTTAAGTTTTTATATTACCATTTAGTAATTAGTTACAAAATAAATTGATTTAACTAAAAAATGTATATATCTTACAAGTACCTCATCAAATATAATTGTAGCATGAAGATCAGAAACATTTTCACAATTTCCATAACCAAGTAAGCAGAGATCACAGTCGGGGGCTAAAGATTAGTATAAACAATCAATTAGTTACTACAGTATCACATAGTTGAACAAACAAACCCAGAGGCTGAGGGGAGTTTAGGAAATATATCTTTTGAACCCAATACTAAATGAATCGCAACTACAGAAAGGGGACAAGTCCGTTTTTATCAATTTTGATTTTATTACCAATTTGAACTAAGCACACGTAAACGCATCGTTTATTGCAGAAAAGAGACAAATCTGACCATCCAAACAACTAAAAATAGCGCTCGGAATTTTCAAAGTTGTATATTATGTATGTATGTATTATTTAGTTTTTTGTGTTTCTTGAAAACTTAGAAAAAGTGGACTTGTCCCCTTTCTGTAGTAAGCGATTCAAATAATAATAATACTATAAGCTTGTAAGTTTTGCTCAATACTTATGGGGATATTAATTGAGTTAATGTATATGAAAAAAGGTGTGGTATATTTTTCAATTCTTTTTGGACTGATTGATACTTAGGCAGCCTCTGAACAAATTCAAAATAAATTTTGTAATAGACAATAATATTTATACTAGTACTTACAAGCTCCTATGGTAAATGCAATTTTTTGAATACAAGTAGTCGTGTTGGGTGATGTTAAACAGGAAAGATAAGCGAGAGGTTTTGTTGGTAACGATAAATGGCTTTCTTGCAATTGGTAAAGACTTTGAAGTGCTAGGAACTGTAGAGCAATATCATTTGAAACTTTTAAATCAGCATCTGGAAAAATAATAATGTATACAACAAATATTATTACATTCTCAGCTTTGATGCGTAGCTGAGAAAAAGGTATTGTTTTTACAATGTTTTTTTTTTTTTTTTGAGGACCAACAGTATCTTTTAAAACACTAAACCAATTTCTTTCTGTAGGAACTCTTTAGATCAGTTATCCCAGAAATATATCCTAGATATATCAGAAAACCCCCAAAAAGAGAAAAATTACACTGACCTTAGTAAATTTTTAGGTCGCTATGTGTCAGTCAACAGGTATTTGTAAATATTGTCATTATATGGATAATTACTATGTAAGGTAGTACCTATGGTAATAAATTATTACAGATGATTAACACTATTCGTACCCCCTATAAATACTAAAAAAAATATTTTTAAGCACATGATTGTCATTGGGTACAACGCTTTTATCGATATTTGTATTTCTACCATTACAGAATCTGTAGCAAAGCATTTCTTTCAAAGTGATTTTATCACTTTTAATTAAAATAATTCTTGTACACCTGTGATGTCCCCCATAATATGATCTTTTCTCATTATTATGTCTTAGGATGTCTGATGGGGCTCCAGTATATTTTATAGCTACCCTGACTCGAAAAAAAAATTACTAGAGAAAGTTAACTTTCTCAGAAATGTGCCCATGTTTAATGTAAATAATAAAAAACAATAATGAACACATGATAACTACTTACTATCGATCAAATTATCAGGAATCATTGATTTCAATTCAAACGTTGCAATATCACTAAAAACAAAATTGTGTTCATGATTATACAATATACATAAAAATACAATTTCAGAAAAAGCAAGTAGGAGAAAAATAAATGTTTCTAATCTCTAGTATTAATTGAAACTCAAAACTTCTCATACTCCAAAAACTAACATAATTAATACATTTCATAAGGTGAATGTCTACATAATGTGTCACATACTGGCATAAAATCTTAAATCATAGAAACCCTATGGAGCCTCTTTTTATTTCCTAGCCGGTTACGTGTATTTGGTCCATTTTACAACTTAATAACTGCTGATTTTACTTTAATTTAAATTGCTTATCCTAAAAATAATTCCTACACTGAAAACCAAACCAGTTGATATATATTTTTTAGTAAATAAGCATAATGCTAAATAAGTAATATCACAACATTTTTTTATAATTAATAGTATTTATCCAAGCACAATTATTTTAGTATTTGAAGTATGAGCAGTTTTATTTTTTTTAACTTGAACATAATTATAATTAAAAATTACCATAAAATTTCTAAGGAAGCACCTTTAGATGGTGTTGTTGGAATGTCATCTTCATCACTCTAAACAAAAAAATTGATTATAATTAAGTTCTATATTTATAGTAAAATATAATATTTAGCCAAAATAATTGTTTTAGGCCATGAGCATAATACAGAACACCACTTGTAAAAACAGTAAAACAATAATTGAAAATAAAATTATTGATTAGTTAATATTTTTCATTTAAACAAAAAACATTGTTCTTATTATTATAGAATAATGTTTCAATGATTCAAATGTTTGTGTTTTTTAATTTCAGTAGTCCATATCAAATACGAGGGATATATTTACCAAAAACTAACATATAATTTAAAAGTTGATAGTAGATTATGTAATATTGTACTTAGTTATTAAAACAATACATTTATATATGAAGTGCACAGAGGAAGAAGGGTATTTGTTTTTTTTTCAATTTTGAGATAATGGTACCATTCAATAATACATTGAGACTACTATATTGAAATCCATTTGGCAATAGAGAAGTTTAGCGCTTTAAAACCGGTTGATATATAAGGGTTGTACGGGTAAATTAACTTTGTTGTCTCCTGAAAAATTGTCATAAATGAACAAATACCCTGTGCCCTTCTTATATATTAGATAAAAATTCCTATCAAATTTGTAATACACACAAAAAGACATAAGTCTTCCCTACTGCTATTGGGTTAGTCTTTAAAAGTATAATTACCTTTTTATACATGGCATCAATATGATTAGGTATACTAATTAATGTATTTACAGTTTGGCTAGGTATTTGACATCGTAATCTTTTTAAGGTTATGCGATCTGAATACAATCGATCACCTTTAAAAATTTTCGGATAAACCTGTTCCTGGGAAAAATAGTTTAATAAATTTAAATCTAAACCTAATAACATTTTATGTAGTATAAACAATTGTACAAACTAAAATTTTACATTTAAAAAATAATATCTTACATAGAATTTGTCGTGTTCTGGACATAACCATTTCATACTATGGTCCCAATCACGAATAGGTGGGTCTAAACAGTCGAGATGATAAAGATGATTACAAAAATCACATTGTACTAATCGGCCTCCAAGTACACCTCTATTACACAACCAACATTTATCATCTTTGCGGAGAAGCTTTAATTTGTCTAACTGCCTTCGCGCAGTAGGTTTACCATCTTAAAATAAAACATGTCACATTTTAAAATAATTTTTAAAAAATATCTCACGATTACTTACTATATTTTCGCACTAAAGGCATTTTATAAACAGACTTCAACTTTGGTAAGAAACGTGGAGTCTGAGAATCAAATTTACGCTTCATTACTGATTTAATATCTGTGAATATAATGCATTTGGAAGAATCACTTTTTCCAATTATTTGATGAACAACACTTGGCAACATGTCGACTTCAAATTTATCTTTGGCCACATAATCGTAAGGGCACCCAGTATCGTCATTTTCAGTCTTATCAACATTATTAATAGGAACTTCACACATCGGCTCACCCTGTAAAATTATCAATAATTAGTATCTTTTAAACGTAAAAACTCAATTATAATAAAAAATAATCGTTCAATTCAATATGTTATAAAAACGAAATAAAATCTTCAAGAAGAAACATTTGAATCATGAATATGAGTCATAAAACATATTCATGTTAAGAATAAAAGTGCAATATTTAAAATATTAAATGATTGATTTAAAAGAAGTTTAAGTTATAAAAAAGAATTTTCACCTAATTTATGTATTTCATTTATTATTTATTTTGATAATAAGGCATTTATTAGAATTGTATTATTATTATCCGAGTTCTTTCAACTTAAATTACTCCCTAAACAAATTCATAGGTTTTTAAATATTAATTTTTATTACTTTCAGATGTATCAGCTTTTATTTTTGGGAATAATGATTTAAAACCTCCCGAAATTATATGTTAAATAGTTTTAAACATTTTTTACAATATCGATTGGTAGCATTTTTGAGTTAGAGGTGTCAATGCATAATTGAATATCATCTCCCCTTTCCAAAAAGGAAAGACCATGTCTGTTTCACTGTATGCGAGTTTCAAAGAACCTAACAAGTACCAAGTTTGAATCTTAAACAATTTACTTGATAGACATTTTACTATGGTATTATGCTCAAAACTTCAATTACAATTCCTCCACACTTCTTTCTCAACATGTTTAAATTATTTCATATGTCTAGCTCGCATATTATGTATTGTTTGAATTGGAAAAAACACAATATAACTTACATTCTTCTTTGAACACCTTCTACACAGCCATTCACCATCAGGTAGTTTATCTAAAGGTGGAATGCTGAAATATAAAATAAAATTAATCAATGTTTTGTTTGTTATAATTTTGCAATTTTTAATTTTTCACTTACTGGCAACTAATATGGTAGGATCTTGGACATCTATCACAGCAGACAATATCACCACCTTCACGACAAGCATCACAAAAGTCATGATTATGCTCTTTACCAGGTTGACGAAAATAAGTGTCTTCAACATATTTTTTCTTGTTCACTGAAATTGGTTCAGCTATCAATTTCATAATATCCTAAAAAATAAATACATTATAATCATAACATATTTTAACATAATTTCTTTTAATATATTTAAATCTCCTATCACTTTTTCATTCATTCTATATAACTCATTCATTCTATAAAGTATTTACTTTTAAAACTTGATCAACATCTTGAAATACCTCTCGACAAATCTATTTTACCAACTCATTTCACTATTTCATTTTCATACTTTTGGCCTAACTTTCAAACCCACTACTAATTCCATAGATTAGGTTTAAGACCACTAGTAAAAAAAATATAGAAGTTAAAGACAATTGTGTTAATAAAATTGATATAATATATTATGGCGATTGAAAATTATCATATTTTCTGATAAAAAAAAACTACTGATTGGTAATCAATATAATAATGGAATAAGAAATTTTAATTCTTCAGAAACTTTTTTTGGAAATCACTTTTTTTTTTTTCCTTATAGGTTTAAAACTTGTGGGCATTAAATTATAAAAATAATACAAATTTATCTACAAAAATAAGTAGGAAAGTCATTCCTTAGAAAAGATGCTGAGAAATCCATTCGCAGTTTCTTAATTTACAATAAAATTTACGAGTACTGTTTAACAAAAACAGGAGTTTTACTTAGCAGAATGATATAAAAAAATACGATTGATATATACATATATATATATATACATGTACGTAAAATATAAGCTTGCAATAGGCGGTGCAAAGGGAAATCACACAAATTAATATTTATTTACTTATAGCACATTTTCGAGCTACCCGCATGTTAATAATATACGCCTAAATATTACCCCTTAAAAATAAACAGTTTTCAATCCCCTTCAAGAAAAAAAATACATCAACATTCCTAATTACAGTACTATCTCAATAATTCGGCTCTGTTATACACGTCCTGTTCTGCAACTACTTTTTGGTGGATAAACTACGTAATTTTATTAGTTCATTGATGCATAATATTATACCTAATTATAATAGTGTTTATAAGTAAATATTCTATTTTTATTCCTCTTGTCATCATATACATGTCAATATAGAAACACTCCTTACATTATAAAGCTAAAAAAAACCATTATCTACAAAACCAAAACTTGCTATATAACCATTAATACCATATTATTTTAACTATAATAATGCGAGACACAAAAACATGCCGGTATTTGTAGCATTTGAGCATTTGTATTTAACAGCAGTATGCCAATTGTTGATTTTTTTTTTTTAATGACTAGTTTTCTGTTTTTTTTTTATTACTAATCCGAAAAGAGTTTTAATTACATTTGTATTTGGCATAATTCTAGTTTAGCTAACTTTCGATATTTTTGAATTTTTTTTTTCTTCAAAATGTGTGTTTTTGCATGCTTAATTCAAATCTGTAATCAGAAATTGTCGGACTCGTGTAGTTCAAAAGTTACAGCTATTTGAAGTTACAATATATTGTTGCGCATGGCACCGCGTGGCGCGGTGCGGCGAGCGCAGACCTATCGATGCGCGACGACGCAAATCGTAGTTCGTGTTTTTTTCTTAATTTTTTAGTAGTTAGTTAAGTAGTTAAAAGCTACTTGGGATGGGGGCTTACACCTTATATTGCGATCTATTATCGTACGGCAGGTCACCGAGTATTTTGGCACTCGCTCGCTCGGCGCCGTCGCTTCGCTCCGCTAAACTAAAAACATCCTAGGTTTGCAGGCTACAGTCTAGGAGGAGGTAACAGGTTTAAAGTAAAGTCAAATTAAAATGTTGAAAAGTTAAAAAAATTAAGAAAAAAACGAACTGCGATTCGCGTCGCCGCGCATCGACAGGTCTGCGCTCGCCGCACCGCGCCACGCGGTGCCATGCGCAACGATATATTGTAACTTCAAATAGCTGTAACTTTTGAACTACACGAGTCCGACAATTTCTGATTACAGATTTGAATTAAGCATGCAAAAACACACATTTTGAAGAAGAAAAAAATTCAAAAATATCGAAAGTTAGCTAAACTAGAATTGTTCCTTGTATTCGATTTCTTATATTGCAGTATATCATATTATTCTAAAATAATAATATAATCTCTTAAGCTAAATAGAACGATGGCAGATAAATTTATAAGCAATCAGTGGCGTAACTAGAGACTAAAGCGCCCAGGTGCAAGACATTTTTTTTGCACCATATATTACATGTTAGTTAATGTGTACAGTAAATCATAGAAAAATGCCCTAAATTAGAATGCGCCCTGGAGCAGCTGCACCCGCTTAGCTACGCCACGATACTATTGTAATTCTTATAATGTTATGTCGCTTACCTTCATTAGTTCAATAGGACGAGGCGAAACCGGTCTCTTGTAAGCCATTATATACGCTTTAGAGATTACCGTTAGTTTGTGTACAACCAAGAGTGGATTGCATTAACATTGACAGAACTTTTACGGTGATATAGGAATTCTCCAGGATTTAAAATTACTAACAGATATGCTCTAAATGTGATGTTACACGGTACGCCTATTTAACAAATTGATACTCAAGGCAGATCATGTAGACTTAGGCGAGCACATCTTACGGAAATTTGAAGCAAGTAACATACCAAAGTTCTCATCATAAATCTATTTACTTCATTGGCATAACTGGGTGAACAGCATTAGTCGCGGTGCACTAACATATTCATCACGTAAACGATCGACCTCTTCTGCGGATAATAAACGATTTAGGCGAACAGCGCGGTAATTACCAATACCTACGAACAACAACTTTCAAAATTTTTTTCATCAGAAATTCGGATGAAATTTTTCAGATTGATTGCTCCGAGAAACAAACATAATTTTGTATTTTTGTTTACCTATCTTTTATCTACGTATTTTACGACATTGTTTTGAAAAACATTTTGACTTTTATTTTATCTGCTCTTACCACACTGGTAGCTAGTTGTTTTTTGTGGTTATAAACACCGCAAATGTGATTCTCAATCACTAAATTAGTAAAAATTTCGGCGTTTTAATTTTTTTTTTCGACGTTGAAATAAGTATACTTTAGTAAATAGTTAGTTAGTATTAATTTTAAAAAACATAACCGGAAAAAACGAATTCAAATGGCATCTAGAGGCAGGCTCGCTAGAAATGACAACTCTATGGCAGAACGTCGATTGCGACCGATTTATGGTACATTATAGTATTATAACGTTTGAATATATTGTTTTCAAGTAATTTACATATTTTTAAATATATTTAATTATTATTTTATAGAGTGGATCGATAATGGTAACTACAAAAAAGCATTGCACGAGCTCGATAAGCTCTTAAAAAAAGTGCCAACTCAAAATTGTTCAAAAGTATGTATAAAATATTCTAACAATGTTGTTATTTAAATGATTCATGATTTCAGGCACTAAAATGTTTGACATTAGTACGTCTGGGCAGAAATCAAGAAGCAGAAACGCTTCTTGAAGATGTACGGGGTTTCAAACCATCTGACGAATCTACTTTATTAGCATTAACAGCATGTTATAGAGAGTTGAAACAACGTAAACTACTTATCACTTTGTGTTACCATTTGATCACATTCATAACTTCTTGTAAATTTCTGCAGCTCAGTTGGTGTGTGAAGTATATGAGGATGCGTTACTTCAAGATCCTGTTAATGAAGAATTGCTATCTAGTCTGTTCATGTCGTACGTTCGAATTTGTGACTATAAAAAACAACAACAGACAGCATTAGCGTTGCACAAAGTTAAACCAAATAACCCTTATTATTTTTGGGCTATTATGAGTATCGTAATGCAAGTAAGAGTTCAGAAATTATAGCATTGTATTTTATTAATACCATAATTTGTTTATTTTATATTACAAGGCATATCAAGCTAATGATGAAATATCGAAAAGAATAACATTACCATTAGCTGAACGTATGGTACAAAAACATATAAATGATAATAAAGTTAATGCTGAACAAGAAATTCAACTTTATTTGATGATATTAGATATGCAAGTAAATGAGTTTTTTAATATTTTTTCACTAAATATAATTTGAAATCATTGGCGCATCTAGAGGGGGTGCTAAGGAAGTTCAGTCAGACCTTTTAAAACTTCTGAAAACTCTCTCAGAGTTGCATTAAAAATGTTAAACCTTATTCGGGAAACTGTACCTGATTGGTTGCTGTAGTTTTTTTTAAAACCTGAACGAGTTTGAACTTCTTAGCCCCCCCCCCCCCTTCTATTTAGCTAATGTTTGTAACCTAAGTTAAAAAAAATAAATTTTCAGAAAAAATACAAAGAAAGCTTAGATATTCTCAATGGACCATTGGGAGAAAAATTAAATCGTACTGTGGGTTTGAATCGTAAAAAAATAGATATTTACTTTGAATTGGAAATGTACACCGAAGCTAATTCTTACCTAAAGAGTTTAATTTTAGATGAGTAAGTTTTGTTTACATATTTTTGTTTCGATATTACTATGGTGTTGCGTTATTAAATTTTAATTGAATGAAAAGACTTGATATTTTTACTATCAAATTAAATATTTTCAAATGATCAACTAAATATGGCAACAAAATTCCTACATTTTAAGTATCAACATAAAGATAATATTAAATTTTTAATTGTAGTAGGACTACTATGATAATAAGACCTCACTTTAAGAGTATATCACACTACCGGTATTTTGGCGGTCAATCTTGTGCAGGGAACAAGGTTACTTGGGTTGTACTCATGAAAGATTATAAAGCACACAGAAAATAAATTTATCTGTGTCATATATAGTTTTATTTTTCAGATAACTTGAACACATTCCATATTATTCATTTGTTAAGATTATTTTTTTAAAAATTAGCAAGTATTGATATCAATAATAAAAGGGCTACAACACAGATAGAGTTATTTTCTATGTATTAGGAAAATTTGGTAAATCTACTGTGAATACTGTCCTCATAAGTTTGTCCCGCTCAAAGCAGTTTCGATAGGAAAAAATGTAATTTTTTCTATAGAATTGACTATGATAGTGTGACAAAAAAAAAATCGACTAATATAGTACCCTCATTACTGTTTTAATAAAAATGTCCTACAGTTCAAGCTGTAATTTAAGCTTTGTTAAATTTTGCATATACTTTATTCCTTAATAAATGTGTGGTACGGCGTGCTCTTAAATTGTTAGTTACTAGGTAAATGAAAAAAACATTTACTTAATTTTGTTTGCTACATTTTTTGGCGGGTTTATCTTTTAAGTAAATAAACGAGACACTTGGACGTTCAATTCAATAACATGGAAACGAACACTTGTACTATTTATCACTTGTATCTATTGCAATAGATTTCAGTTAGGTTAGGCTTCTAGATTTGGCCCAAAAAAAAAAAAATCTATATTTACTTAAATATTTGTATTTCTTTACAACTTAAAAAAAACTTTTTTTTGATGTAGTTTTAATTAATAAAAATCTACAGCATAGATTCGTGGTTTTACTATACTAAGTACTTTGACTCTCTGTTCAAAATAATTGAAATGAAAGATAAATATACTAACGGCGATGGAGGAAATGAAAAGTCTGCTGTCAAATATGACTCATCTATTGAAGATGCTTTGTCATTTCTTAAAGAACTACAAAAGCTGAATTCTGCTCAAAATTATCCTAAAAGAGGAGTTTATCTTGCTCATCTTGAACTATTTTCAAGATTAAAGAATGATGCTGAAAAATATTTGGGTATAATAGCCAATCTATTTTTATTTATTAATTGTGTCTTATTGTAAGACTAATGATTGCGTAAATCTGATTACAGGCTGCCCAATTAAATTGCTAACCGAGTATTTCAAAATATTTGGACAAAAACCATGTTGTTTTAATGATCTGAGGCCATATGTGTCACTATTACAAGGTGAAATGCTCATTTCTTTTATGAAAGATCTCGACGAAATTGTAGATTTGAAAGACGGAGACTTTCCCAAAACCGTAAGAACTTTAAATCATAGTTATACAATTTGTAACACCATAGATTAAATGTTGTAGAATGGATGGACAACGTCTGTGTATAGATTTGATGCCGCTCTTTTAGGTTTTTATAATAGTCTTAACACAGTGTAATCTAGAAATGCTATTAAAATAATGTTGCCGGTTGTTACATTAGCGTTGCCTATCCATTTGATCTATAGTTATAATAAAACACAAATAAGACTCTTTTTCAAATTAAATCAATTTAATATTATGAGTCCCAATTTTTTTTTAATTTTAAATCTATTCAACCATTTTATTTTTTTATAGAAACCTCAAATGGAACATTACTTGACAAAACTTCAATTAGCTCGTTATGCTGGTATGCACGACCAGCTAAACACCGAGCAGAAACTAAACCTTGCTGATCTTTTACTTAGATGTTACCATAGATGTGAAATATTTAATACCAGTAAACGATCATCAGAAATAATGTAAGTTTCTATTAATTATTTAGACTATACAAACTGATCATTATTTACACATTTTAGGGCTAATGATACATTTGTTATCATGATGGCACACATCATGTATGATATTTGGGTAGAAAATAATAGACTTACATATATAAGAGAAGCAACGGTTGTACTTGAGTATGCGTATTCATTAAGTCCCTCAAATTTTCATATCAAACTATTGTTATTAAAATTTTACCACATGTTAGGTAAGTAAAATATTTAAGGTTTAAATGTTTGTCGAACCTACATAATGTATGAATTAATCAAATCTTATTTTAGGAGCTGCCGATGCATCAAATACAGCTTATGTAAATTTGGAAATCAAAAACACTCAATTGGATTCTCTAGGATATCTGCATACATTTCAAGTTTTCAGTGAAGGCCGTTTTCAAAATGCGTCAAAATTGTATTCAACAACAGTCAAGTTTTTCTCACATAATTATCGTGAGGTAAGAAAAAACAGCAAAATTAGTTAACTGATGAAACAATTGGATGACATTTTATTTTTGTTAATTGTTCATTATAGGTAGCCGACCATTTAACCATTTCATACAAGTATGGTTCCTTTATAAAAATTATTGAATTTGTGGAATTTCGGGAAAAACTCAAGTATTCAGTTCATAATTCTATGAGTGTCATAGAAAACTATTTTGTTTCATTAAACGATATTGATAGCACGGAAGATTATTTAGAGGTATTATAACAATTAATCGCCTATTAATTGATTTATTAATTTGCTTTTGTGATTAAATAGATCGTTTTAAAGATGCACGATGTTACCGAAATTTCAACAAAATCTCATCTTGAGAAAATGATAAACAACAGAGATTATTCAGTTCTAATTAATTACAACCCGCCTACTCGATGTTTGACAGCTGACCATTCTATGCAAATCTTTGCGCACGATTTGTGTCTCCTTGAAATTCGCTCTACTATATTAAGTTGTTTTTATCACTGTGCTAATGCAATTAAAGAATACGAAACAAAAGACTTTCATATTAATCCTACCGAATTAAATGGTCTTAGTTTAAATAATAATGCACACAAGTCAGAGCATCTCGAACAATTAGATTTGCATTTAGAAAAATTAAAACTGTTAATAGCTAAATTGGAAAAAGATCCTCCTATTTCTGTTCCTAAAAACGTTTTTGGAAGCTTTTTTGATTCCAAGTTATTTTGTTATGAAAGATGTAAAATCACAATGACCATAGCCATTAGTTTTATAGAGCTAGTTCGAACAATCGGTATGACGGTGAAAAATATTAACTCTTCGGACTCTGAATGGGTGAACAAATTGAAAACTGATACTGTCAGTTTAAATAATGAATTTGAAAAGGCAATAGGTTGTTGTCAGTGTGTTACTGCTAAAACACTAAATGAACTAGACCCCGATATAAAATTAGAAGGCAGAAAAGAAGTTTTAGAAGTACTTTCGGTTATGGTTGAAGTGAGTTATAAATTGTAGTCAGTATCTAATAGTTCTGTCCATTAGTTAAATAAATGTTTTATTTTTTAGTTAATTAATATTTCATGTGTACTTACATCATTGGTAATACTTCTAACAAAAGGTATGCAAAACAGGGTAGTTACAGATCAAAAAAAAATCAAAGCCAAACGAAAAAATCAATCTACTATAGTTCAAAATGAGGTAAATTGTTATTGTAATCAGTATTCTAGTGTAGTCATGCCATAAGAAGTCAACAATAATATATTTTATAACTTTTTTTTTAGGCTGTGTCAAAAGACAAATCAGAGACTATTGGAAACATTGTTAAAACTGTACAAAATAGTACTAGTCAATTAATTTCTATTGTAAAAAATGTAGAAGAAACATGGGAGAGATTGGGTTGTGGCAACGCCGCTGAGTTAATGTTAAAGAAGAATGATCCTGATACGGTGAGCTATGATACGGATGAAGAACGAGAAGCAATAAAAATGAGGCAAATTACAGCAGATAGATGGCGACAATTAGTTGCCACTATTGATAAGAAAATTAGTGACAGTTATAGTGGCGCTTTAGATGAAATGTTAAAGACATTAAATAAAAAACAGGTATTTATTAATAAAATTATGGTATGTTGAAAATAAATTGCTGTTATTTTGTAAATTATGTAAAATATAAAAACAATTATATATATACCAAATTAGAGATTATTTAACTATTTAAGATGTACACTCTTAAATAGGTGACTTGTTTAAAAGATATCCTATTGTTAAACCTGATATTACATTTAATAATTTTTTTGGACAGTGTATTCCAAATTTTAAGTTACAGTATTTTAGTAAGAACTTTTGGCTATAAATAATTATTATTACACTTAATAATATATTTAAAATTATGAAGTTAAACAAAATTATTTCAAAGAGTTATTTTATTAATTAACATTGCATAATATAGTATACTTGTTAATATTTATAACTAGTTGTCAGTATTTCAACAAGAATTTTTTTAATTTAGATACTTAAAAAATTCTAAATATTATTGGAAATTGTCATCTCAAAATTTACTTTCACATAACATGTCTAACTTCACTTTTAAAATTTTAATTGTATTATTATTTTAGCTAATTTATAATTTCTTATAGCACTTAGAGTTTTAACTCAATATACTTTCTTCTTATAATATAAGAATTGTATAAAATATGGAATACCCTTGATAAAAAAAAAATATATATATATATATAAAACTGAACCAAAAAAACTTCAAGTGAAAAGTTTTTTATTTTTAAGTGAAAACAAAGAAATCACAAAAATAGGTTTTAAACTAAAAGTGTTTAATTATCTAGAAAAACCTGAGCAACAATTTTGTTTACGTAGAACACCATTAAACAAGTAATACACTAAACACTCCTATTGTGAGCGCTGATAGTGATAGTACCTGTTGCAACCAATATATTCGTAAACGCCTAAGTCTGTAATGAGATTGAGTTCTTTGGCTAATTTACTGTTATGTGGGAGCCGATTTTCATTTAAAAATGTCAGTTTCTTGCAATTAAATTTGCAATTTTTTCAGTATTAAATCCCAATTTTTTTTCATAGAAAAATTCAAAATTTTGTTTGTTACGTGACCTAGTAAAGTTGCCAAAGGACTTGTATGTCTTTACAGAATTGAAATCGGACCACCCTAAGTGGTCGAAATTTTGTCTGGTTTTTTGGTCTAAAACGTCAAAAAAAAGAGACCACAATCCTCTTAAGTAGGTAATTTGTCTACTTAAACAAGACTTGATTGATATAAAAACTTTATATTAAAATACTGCCTATTTTTAATATACATTATTCTTTTAAGAACATCTACTTCTATTGTTCCCTTTAAATTGGCAGTTCTAACGCAAAATAATAGCTCATATAGTTACATACAGCTATTTTTTTAAGGTAACGCAAGTCTTACAAACTTAACAAAAAAAAAAAAAATTCAACAGTAAATGCATTTTATAAAATATGTTTTCCAAGTATAGATTCAATCACCTAGCAATAGGGTACAACTATTATCAAATTTTTATTTATTAAATTGAACACTTTCTCTGGCTTAGTTTCTCTCTCTTCTTTTCTATTTCTGTGTTAATGTCTCTGCGCTGTAAGTAATAAGTGAGGTAGTTGTGTTTTATAAAATCATCAATAAGTTATTTTTTCTTTTTAATCAGTGTTATCATCACTGATCTGTTAACATTTTTATTTTTGTGATGTATTTTATTTTTTACGTTTTGTGGATTATATCACATTTAATGAAAAATCATTTTTGGTAATAATTTGTTTTGTATTTATTATACAAATTAATATACATTTTTAAGACACAAATAACTGCGATATTTTACTTAAATTGTGACTGAATTCTTGATTAAATTATATATAATGTGTACATTTTAAAATTATATTTTCAAACTAAAAAATATGTATACTATTTAATTTCAACTCGTTAAAAATAGAAGGATTGACGATTAATTTTATAAATGAACGCAAGAATATAGTGAAATGCATTATGGGTCATAGGAGTTGTCTGATGTTGTTCACCCCGTATAACACGGGTGTAACAAGTTGTAAAGGTGAGCCGAATTCGCGCATCATGGCATTATTATCGAAAACGACATCGATGTTTTTTTTTAAACTTAAAAACCTCAATTGAATTTCAAAAGAAAAAAAATATCGATACTCGGTGAATTGTCTACTGCTTAGTAGACAAAAAAAAGTCCAGGGGAAAGGGTAGATTCACAGACCGGATGAAATTGGTCATCCGGAGCATCCTCTGTGTCAGAAACACGCCTCAGCGAGTTTATAGGAAACAGAATTGCTATTGTTGTAGCCGTCAGATATACATTTCGATAATTCATAATGAATCGATATTATTGTTATATATATTTTTTTACAAGAATATTTTTATGTCAATTGGTCACGGGCGTGTATACACATTTACGTACCTACGCCGAAAGAATCTCGACATGGGCGAAAAACGGCGAGGCATGTGCAATACTTATAGTATCTGTATAAACCTCATATACATTTACGAACCAATGTTACGCACCAGTACTCGATTACCGTATAGGTAGGTACGATTATTTATAATTTATATGTATATTCGGTTTTGGAAATTCGATAATTTTTTATCTCCAACTCACACGGTTGTCGAGGAATTAACTGACTAAATTGGATATCAAATACGAATAACATCATAGATATGTATATAAAATATAGGTATAATTGCGGTTAACGCGCAAACCAAAGTGGCTAATGGAATGTAAAAAAAACATTGACAAGTCTGGTTTTAACTGATATATATTAAAGTACACGTTGACAGTATATACCAACATGTCAATTTATAACGTCACGATGATTTTTGACCTAACAATGCAATAACCTATAGGTATTTTTTTTATTATATTTTCTACTAACAAATATAATTTAAGCTAAACTAATGATAAATATCGGTACGCGTATTATATCTATTCGCTTATTCTGTGAGGAATATTTCAATAATGATGTATTACATAATAATATATTGTTTTGTGCTGTATTGGGGCATGTGCAAGAAAATCCCTATTTATGAATCATGCAATACCTAATTCAGCTTATGACCCGAATCTAATTGTATGTTAACTTCTAATGGATTGTCGTAACTCGTGACGTTTACCGTAATTATGTTATTAAGCTACAATCTTTATAATTAGTATGTAATCTGCAATTACCGTATTTTATCAGAAAAACATAATATATTCAAGTACCTAGGTATGTAGATTAAAATATATCATATTATAGTCGGTATTGGTGAGTTGCGGCCCGGGTTTATGAGTGGGACGTATGCCGTATTTAGGGGGGCAACAGGGGGCTGTTGCCCCGGGCGGCTGATTATGAATGGGCGACTAAATTTTTTTATATTGCATTAAATTTGTATTATATTATAATAGGGCGTTTTTTTTTTTTTGTTGTTGCCCCAGGGGGACAAATTCCTAAATACGACCCTGGACGTATGAGTTACGGCCACATAATAATTACCACTTTATATCAGCCTATTATAGCGTTACCCAGGAGACACCACGGGGAGGTTGGCTGAGTTGTCTCCCAAAAATGTTTTTTGGTCAAGTTTTTAAAATAATGTTATTTTAGGTGATAAGCGGTTCTGTCGTTGTCATTTTAGTTTTTTTTTAACATTGGTTTGGCAAAAATTTAAAACTTTAAGTTTTAACAATTTCAAACTGTCCAATTCCTTTTTTTTCGAGATTTGTCATTTGTTCTCTTATATTTTGTTGCGTAGAAAAACCAATCATAGATGATACTTTGTCATTTACAAATAAAAATGTTTCGCCTATGTTGGTCTTGATGTCCATTAACTCCAATTCCCAAAGCAGCATGTAATTACTCAACGCTATTTGGCAAAGGGGTGTACACATAAACGAGCACGATGAATATTATGCATAATTAATGATTAATCATTGGTTTTTTAAGTCGGTATATCACCTTGTTTTTTTAATTCCGTGCGAATAAGTTTTGCATGTTTACAGGAAATGTCTTTTATTGCTTTTCTTTTCAGAGAATTACTCAAAATTTGCCTATTTAGAATTTTTTCGTCAGTTTTTCTATGGTTATGATCAGTGTTACTTTCAACTATAAAATATAATATATTCACTATTTTGCGTCTGAACTATCAAGCAATATTTTTGGAATATCTGTATTTTCTTTTTTGACATTTTATTTTATTTCATATCGGTGTTTTGATGCGATACTTTAAGAATAATTATGCACATACAGAGTGATTTTTTCGAACACTTATATGTTTTTAACAATTTAACCCCTCCTACATTAATTTTTTTTATGTCAACTTTTGTAAATTAAAACGTAACGTATATATTTCATTAACTTTTTAAATTAAAAATAAATTACTAAAAATGTTGACTGGTCGATAACCAGTCTGAGAAGAGTAGGATGTAGTATTATTTTTATCTACACGCATTATATACAACCGCACTTCTCCATCTGTTCTAACTTTTACACTCTAATAACTTTAAAAGTAACGAAATCACATAATATAAAAACAATGCGAAAAACACAAATTTAAAAACGAATTTAATCCTGTAAGATATTGAGTGGATCTCTTTAAAAAAACCAACCTGTATAACTAAATACGATAAAAGTTTCAAGATAAAAAAAGGTTACGCGGGCCGAAACTCATACGTCCATCGAAAACTGTCGGGCCGCAACTCACCTACCTAGTTATAGGTAAATCAATGCTCGTATATTATTGTCATTTGTTTGGACTTTAATCTTCATAAAAATGTTGTAATACTTACAAGTTACAGTGTTTCCAATTTATAAAGTAAAAAATGTCGACAGCTGCTATCTATATGGAATATATTTCAATCTACTTTTCAACTTGCAAATTAATAATTGAAATTTAACATTTTTTTATTTATCTTCGAAATAAATAATTAACAAACTGGATTTATAATAAAATATTATGTAATAACCCATAAGTATAGTATTATAAATATAACAATATATTAATTAGTATATAAAAACAATGATCAGAATGTATACATAAGTATACATTTTAAACTAGTTAAATTTTTGTAGTAGATTCTAGATATGTATAAAACTAATAGCTAATAAAAATATATATTTATTAGTATTATGCGATGTATTGGTTGTTTGTTATATTGTCTCAAATACCTGGATGTTTATTAATTATATTTCAC